ATTCCGACAACTGTACCTAGGAATTACACTCTCTATCATCTGGCGTCCTCTTGAACCCCTGAACCTTGACCCTGAACTCCTGAATCCCGAGCCTTGTACAACTCACTTCGGTTGTACCCCTACACCTAGATTGTGTCTCCTGTATCCTGCCTGTCCTGATCGTAGTGTGCCTTGGGCTGCCCTATCCTCAGACCTTGCCTGTTACAGTCTGCCTAGTCTATTACTTGACCTCATGGTCGCATGTATGATTATAGACCTAGATTGCCATATCTTATCATCATAGGATTTTTACAGTATGCTGACAAGGATTGTGCAAGTGGAATTGTAGGAGCTGGCAGCAATGCACTAGCAAACAAAGTAGAAATTGTGTAAATTAAACACCACTTTCTCTATACTCTACTGTATCTTGTTTTATCACTTTATCACTTCTCATCATATTGTAGTGGTGGCATGTTTATTTCTTTTGTCACCAAGCTCATACAAGGTCCTAGGTTGGAACACATACCCCCCCCCCCCTCTCAGGTATTCCAAATTTGCCTTCACAACGGAGGATGTCTACCCCTGCTCTGAACCATGAATTCATGATCTACCCTTGTATATGCTGGTCTGTACTACGGACGTTATTACCGCTATTTAGATGGCAAAAGCCCCGTTTACCGGTAAATTTAGCTCTTATCCTACCGAGAGCAACTAGGTGAAGGGGGGATGCTGCTGATTATCGTGGGTGGCCCTGTACAGTACAGTACTCGAGTACTGTAAGCGCCACATGGTTCGTGCGTGCAGCTACCGGCCTAGTACAGCGCTGTGCAGAACTCGAGTGCAATGCCGGTAGATCCTTTTCTTTCCTTCTTCTTTTCCTTTCTTTTCTTTTCTGTTTGTCTGTCGGGATGGGAAGGAGGAGGAGGCGGAAGGTCGAGGAGGTTTAGATTGGGTTATGCTATTCTATGTCACTTACCATACCATTGCGGATCCTAAGGATGATTGATTGATTGATCGAACGGTTCATGCCCCGTCCGTCAAGGTCAATGAGGCTCTGGCGGCGCATGATGTGATCACTCTGCGGGTAAGATTTTAGAGCCAAAACTTGTCATGCCATGTCAAATACAGTACCGTACTGTGCCGGAATCCTCCAACTGCACCTCCAAGTTTGTGGCTGAAGGGAGGAGGGTATGATACGGTACGTAGTAAGTTCCTCTACTCGTACCCATCCGTACTCGCGTATGGACGTGGGATACCGGACAGCCAGGGATTAGAGGTGTCAAAGCTTCTTGCTTGTTCGAGCAATTCTCATGCCAGACTCATTCCTTTATTCCCTATGAGGGCAAGGACGGTCAGGCCTCTAGAATCCCTGCCTGTCCTGTATCCCACGTCCACACCCGAGTAAGGACCACAATACCGTATGGCACAAGAAACTCGCCGGTCTCAAAGAATGTTCGCTCAAGGGGGATCGTGCCAAAGCCAGATGAGAAAACCTCAATCTTGAAAACGGGTTTATGTGTGATGCGCTGCTATACCCTATCTTTCTAGCATACAAGTACGAGTACCGTGCTAGTACTTGTACTGCATTATACCTGAATTCTAGATGCAAACTGCTCGTACGGTACGGTATCATAGGAAACTTCCTTTTTTTTTCTTTTTTCCTCTCTCCAACCGGAAAAATTTTGATGTCCCCGACGGTTGGGTTGCGCTAGTTTCACAAATGAACTGAGGAATGACATGTCTGCCATGCCACGTGAAGCGTTAGCCAGGTTGCCGAACCGAGCGAGAGATAAAGGGAAGGACTGCTCTCGTGTGTGAGTACGGTACCGCGGGTGAGGTTTTTTCCCTTTCTTTTCTTTTCTTTTCTTCCATGTGCGCGGTGCCGGCCTGGGGGCCAGGGGCGTATCGCTGGAGTGGTTGGGCTAAGAATATAATACCGGTATCATACCGGTACTCGAGTATTTGTTTCTGCTTTCGTGATGGTTGGTCTTGCACAGATAATGAAGCACAAAATATCACATCCTGGTTTAGCAAAGGGAGTACTCGTATCATACTGTACCGTACTAGTACCGGCATCTCTTTCTCGGTCGGTCAGTGAATCGATGAGGGTTCACGGGGTGGTGGTGAGGGTTGTTCCAATACACCCGAGGGGATGGGAAGCGAAAGTTTTTTTTCCACTGTGGGGGAGGATTTGGGAACACCTTGGATCCAGGCTTCCTTTCCCTCCCAGCTGTGATACGATAGTACAAGCATCATACTGCACGATATGAGGTTGCCATGTAACTTACCGTAGATTCTCCGGTTGGCGCAGTGCGGGTACGATACATTCTAAATTATCTAGTTGCCATGCTGACTGAGCTTTTCACCATTCGAAACGCCCGCTCTTTCAGTTTTGTCATCACTTTGGTATGGCTGGGTTCGGCTCTTGTCGCTGAGGTTTCGGATATTTTGCTGGGCCCCTCTCTCTTCCCTCCCCTCGGTTCGGTGCCGTCTTTGCTCGCCCGACGCTGATTCGCAATTGTGGGGGTTGATGGGTTTCCGCTCCGCTCCGCATTATTAATTCAAATCTAGTTCTGGGAAATGCTGGGTTTTGGTAATTGCATGTGGATAGGACATTCTCGATACTCCTTCTGCTCTGTAATAATGGCTTTTATCTTTTTTTTTTTTGGGGGGGGGGGGTGGGGGGGAATAGAGAGCGAGGGGCCGGAAACAATTTATCTAGAACTTGTTTATCGTCCACTCTTCCTATGCCAGCGCTCCCTCTCCCAAAGGTTGTTTGCTTGTGAAAACCGGTTCGCTCGATCCTCCTCCTTCCTTTCTCTTGACCCTTTCATTGTTTTTTTCTTTTCTTTTTCTCCTCTTCTTTCCCTTCCTTTCCATTGGGCGGTAGTACGGGGTCGATGACTGGCTCCTGAGAAATTCAATCCCCTTGGCAGATCAGTTTTGGGAAATATTCTCCATCCCTTTGGCAATAATCCGTTCCCCCTTTCCGCGCCAAATCTCCAGTTTTCACACTGTATTCCTTGCACCCCGTTACAATACTCGAGTACCAGTACCGGTACAGGTACTCTACCGTACTGTACGAGTACTCGTACCCTACCACGCTTCTCCACAGGCGCAAACAACTCCACAACCACAACCACAACCACCTCACCCTACTCTCGCCACCGACCAATCACGCCGCCTCACCCACTGCTGGGCCTCCCCCGACCTCCTTCCCGGTCTCTCTTTCTCTCTCCCTCCCTCCCTCTGCCACTGCCCTCTGCTCTCCGTCTTCCCCCCCCAGCAAAAAGTGAATTCTGCTTTTGATATTATTCTTTTTATTATTCTTAAAAAAAATTTTTGGACCCCCTCTCTCTCTCTTTCCACTCTTTTTTCCTTTCTCTCCCCTTGAGATTGCCGGCTGCTTTATTCCGACTGCCTCTTCGTGAATCTTTTTCGCTAAAACACTCGCGCATTTCCAAGCCGTCGGTCGTCTCACCTAACCTAACCTGGCCTAACCTTCTCCTCTCCCACCCACCCTCATTACTCACCCTCACACTCCACGCCGACCGGCCCCATCATCACCACCACACCCCCTCGCCTCACCTCACCTCACCTCACCTCACCACCTTCACTACACTATATTCACCTCACCCTAACCTCGAACCCTTCCATCTTCCTCCACCTCAAATCAGGGTAGCTTTTCCCCTTCCCCCGGCCACGGTATTTACCCTTCCTTTCCTTCTTCCTTGCACACTTTTCTTAAACCCAGACATTGCCTACTCCATTACACACACACACACTCACACTCACATACTCACACACTCACACACTCACACACTCACACACTTCCACGCACACACGCTCCCTGCCCACTCATCCCCTCAGACCTTCCCTATACTATCTTCAGTTGGTGTTAAGGCGATTAAACCGCCTGCTGCTGCCCGTTGGACTGGAACATACTACGCTTTCCGCTGCGTCTCCGTCCCTCGTGCTGTGTTGTCCGTGCTTTGCTTTGCTTGGAAATATCCCTCTTGTCGCCCCGAATCCGGTTGGCTAACTTCGTTTATTCCCTCTCCTACTCAGTAGGACAACCATCATCTTCAACCACCTCACTGCCCAAACCCACTCATCCACGACAGCAGCCGAAGGAACTGCAACACTCCCCTCCCCCCTACCGGTACCTTCCTCAGCACCTCAGGTTCAGCTTTTGGTTCGTTTTGGCCGCCCTATCCCTCTGGTCCAGTGCACTGAGAACGTATTTCTCTTTTTTTTTCACACCTTGTTCGGGTCTATTCACCTTAAAGCTCGGTTGGTTCACTTCTTGGATTGAAGCTTTCCACTTGCCCATTCTATAATTTCTCCGCGAGTGGTTTACATCTTTCCTCTATCCTTGTTCTCCTAGGTCTGTGATTGCAATGTTGCTTTTTTCGCCTTTTTTTTCTTCTATCGGTTGGAATTATCAACTAATTGAATTTTTAGTTCGCTTCCTATACGTTAGCCATGCGAGAAGTAAACTTTAGTATTCCCAATGTCAACAAGGCCTCAGTTAGTATTACCACGGCTCTATACGACCGACGCGCATTAGATTGCACATCCACATTACCTCTTATAAATTCTCTAAACCATCTAGCGTATCTCACCACATCTTCAGCTCGCATCAGGGATATTCTTACGGTTGATGGCGGTGTGGAACGGCTTGTTTGCATCCTGAAGGCAGGGAGGAGTAAGGATTTGACGAGCATGTGGAAATGGAACTTGGCCTTCCAATGTGTAGTCAACATCGGCGTCCGGGGATCCGAGAATGTACGGACAAGGGTGGTAGAGGCCGATATGGTTCCGGTGATTGCGACAATATTAGACAACTACATTCAGGTTATCGACAAATTGCAGTCAAAGGCGGAGGCCGCGAGTGCAAAAAAGTCGGTTTCGGGCGGTAGCACCCGGTCGAGGGAAAGCAAGATTCACTCTTTCTACGAGAGGAATGAGAGGGCAAGTGGCGGTGAGCGAAGTTTTCGCAGACAGGCGCCTCCACCGATCGAAATCCCGGCTCCCATCTCCCAACACCGCGCGGAAACCCGAGGGGAGCCGATCACCAATAACTCACGGCACCCTTTGACGGTTCCTGGCCCTTCCGAGAGAGTGGCATATGTCCGCCAGTCGCACAATCACAGCCGAGCACATGATACTCGTCATCATTTCCATGCTTACCATTCCGGCACTCAGGCACGTGATCAGGGTGGATTGCAGCCTTTGGCCGCCGCCCTTCCTGCCATGGATATGGGGGTTGGTGCCTTTGGTCTAAGGCCTGTCCGTGATGTTGATCGACTGCCCTCTATGTTACAGGCCGGTGGACCTTCGCAGCCTGAGTCACCAACCACACCTAACCCGCCCCCTCCCGCATCTTCCATCAGAGCCTCACGTCGCAGTGGCAGACCATCTATTCGCCATCAGCGCTCTATCTCGGGGGAATCTGATGACGCTGGTTCAGATGAAAACCCGGTCCCTTCCGGGGGTATGGAGAGTGGGAATGAGCCGATTGTTGGTATCGAGACTGGAGAGGATGGGCGTGAACCGATTATTGGATCCGTGGATACCCCTATGGCAATTGCTGGTCCTCATGGCACAGATGGCCAGGACGCCGAAACATTTAATATCACACACAGATCCCCGATAGATGGCAGCATTATTAGCCCAACCGCCAACACCAGTCCGACAATTGGTTTCTTACCCAATCCCCCAACTGTCAACCCGGCCTTGGCTATTCCCTCCTCCTTCCAGGTTCCCACTCGATATCTCACCGATAATTCGTCTATCGTCCTACCTTCAATGCCTCAACCGGAGGATGTCCTGATGTCGCTGCAACTATTAGCATATGTTTCAAAGTACTGCAATTTGCGTTCATACTTCCAGAAATCCCACTTGGTGCCAAACCTTTCTATAAGTCGCGAAATCCACCTACTGGACGATGACCCGAATAACTTTGGGGCTAGATCCCAACCAATCCCGCTTACCGAGGAGGAAGAGGAGCATCTGTTGCCTGATGACCTTAACATTTTTCCGCTTGTTGAGAAATTCACCGTTCGTCACCACGCCCCGGACATGCAATACTGGGCAGGAGTTGTCATGAGGAATCTCTGCCGAAAGGACGACTCTAGAGGAGGGATCCGACAGTGTGCATACTACGAGTGTGGCAAGTGGGAGGAGTTCACCCGACAGTTTGCAAAGTGCCGAAGGTGCAGACGCACAAAGTACTGCAGCAAAGAGTGCCAGAAGAGCGCCTGGGTCTACCATAGGCACTGGTGTGTCGCGGCGCAGCAATAGCAGAGCTATAGTTGGAAATCAAAAAAAAAAATTCGTCTTTTCGTTTATGCATGCAGGACAACCTGTTAAACTGGTTTTTCCTTCCTCCTATCATAATTTGCTTTCCCGGCGGCCATGGAGTTCTTATTCTTGTTCTTAGTTCTGGATCGTGTTTTCCCACCCTTTTCTTCACTTTTTTTTTCTTTTTCCTTTCTAGTGGTTATTTTTAAAATTATTCTTGGGTTTGGAGAAAAGGTGTAAATTGCCCATTGGTTTTATTTTTCCCTTCTACCTTTATATCGCGGTTGCATAGGCTTGAGATTTCTCTTTTCTCCTACTTTCTCCTTCCTTCTTTATTATTCATTCGGATTATTTAGGATGTTAAGCTTTAGTTCGTGCTGTTTAAAGCTTATGTTAATTGACTAGCACAATGGCAAAAACAAGAGCGAGAAGTGGGAAGAGGGAGGTAGAAAAAGAGAACCCATCCCTTCGAACGTGTTTTTTTTCTGTTTTTTTCCCATGCTCCTTCTGTCTTAGCGTGCTCCCTCTACCTCTATATCCCCTGCCATTGGCACACCCTTTCCCCGGCATCTTCTTTTCCCTTCTTTCTCAGCATTTATGTCATCGCCGTCATCGAGATCATTATTATTCATACCCCCCACTCACGAACTTTTCCTTTGTACCAACTCACCCTCCTATAACAAAACGTATCAAGGTTAGCATGGCAGTATAGTTTTATAAAAAAAAAGTTTGGCAAGGTCCGCATTCTTTGCTTTCCTTTTTTTCCCCGTCCTTTTCATTGAGTCATTGAATCTGTTTTCTGCTTTACTTTCTTGTGTCATTCCGGATCGACGGACGGACGGGGCGGTGGCCTTTCCTGAGCTTCGGTTGTTATATAATTTCGTAGAATGGGGCGGGGGGATGATGAGGGGATGGGGGAAGGGGTTTAGATGAGCCCCTGACCGACCGAGCGAACGAGCTCCTGGGGGGATAAATAGAAGTGTTTTTTTTTCTTCTCTTGGTTCTACTGAGATTGCGAAGTGAGCGTCGTCGTGTTTGTATAATATGATACGCTCATATTTCTGAGTGCTTCCGTTGTACACTTGTGGGCTAGTACAGCTTAAGTTAGTGTCTTGCGATAGCGCTGTTTCACCGGGACGTTGTGGAGGCGGTATAGTGCTTACCTTTTGGTCGTGTCACGGCTGTGTGATAGTCACTGCTCGCGGAAATAGAGGTTTCAGAATCCGAGATGGCGTCGAGTGATTTCTTGTGCAATACTTGTAGAGATATGATAGTTTTTCGAGGCATCGTAGCCTCCGTGCCGTAACCTGAAGGGGTCTACTATACGCTGTCCTACTAATAAACTCGTGATCCCGGAACACCCAGGATTCCTCGGCACGTGCCGAGAATGCATTTCACGGGGCAGAGAAGTGAGATCCCGGTGTGGAGTAGGAGGAACGTTTGGCGTGAGGCTTGGCTCGTATCCGCGTATAGGACGGCGCATTCCTCGTAGGATCGGGAGCCGGAGGAATAGAGGAACGTGAGCATGAATAACCGGGGCACATTATATAGTGCAGGTCGCAGATTGATCTATCATATGTACTCGGGGGAACAATATGGTACCAAATATTCAGACTCCAACAGGCAACACCCAAAGGAACTAAATCGGTTGGGGGCTCGTATGATACGGGCAGGGAAAAAACAGGAGAAGGAAAGGAAGGGAGAGAAGAGAAAAGAAAAGAAAAGCCCCCCCCTCTCGCCATTCTCCCGCAGGGTATAATATTGCTAGCATGTTTTGTAGAATATGGATTGTTTCCCGTATTCTCTCGCACTGAAAAAACTTGCGAAGGGTGGAACGATAACTATTACCCCCCCTTCCGATCCACTAGCTTCTCGGACAAGGTTGATATTCCCATCGTATCCATAATTCCCCCCCTGCGCCGGTGACACCCCTTACGCAGACGGATCATTTTCCGAGTGATAATGAATGATCTGAATTTTCGGGATGATTTTGAACGTGACTAGAGTAGTGTCGTATCATGATTATTCCGTATTTGTACAACATGTACGGAGGCTAGCGGGTATGTACGCTCTTGGTCACAGAATTTGCTGACCCCCTACTAGAGTCATAACAACTATTACGAAAGTATGGGGACAGAAGTTTTGGCCTGGTTGATTTGTTTTTTGTTTTTTTTGTTTAACTCATATATTCTTTGTTAAGGTACAAGAACATGCAGGGAGCCCTAGCTATGGCAAAAACAAAACCTTAATGTCAAAAACAACAAACAGTAATAAAATATTATCCATGCTGAACATCCCCGCCTATGAGTAATTTAACCGACTGCATGCACCAAGGGGACTAATCACAAATGAGCCTGTGCCAAATCAAATTCAACTATAGGGTAACATTGTTGAGAGTGGGAAAGTGCATGGCAACCAAGGTGACACATGAAAACAAGTTTTGAGATACCCTCAATTTTGTAATAAGACATACTATGAACAACTACTACACATTCAAAAAAAATTCTAATATTAATTCGAGATCAGTAAAAATTATTTCCATCCTGATTCTCTTATTCTATGAGTTTAGAATTTTAGAAATAGTGTTGATTATGTAGTTTTTCTTGCTTGTTTATTTTTAGACCCTGGTGGACGGCCTCTTCGCTTTGGAATGTTACTTAAGATCTCCTGCTCTATTGCTTGTATCTCTTCAATACTATCATTTCCTGCTTCTAGCCTAGCTGTTTCTATTCTAGATGGGTGGGATGTATTGACGTTACCTGATTGCTTACTTCTTTCTATCTTGACTGATTGAGCTTGTTTAATAATTTCATCTGAAGGCTTTGTATAGAGCCATGTAGACTGAATATGCTCAGGTGCATAGGAGCTGTACTTATTCCACATATCAAACCGCTTTTCTGACTTCAACCCAGTTGGTTGGAGCTCCTTTGGTGACATGGTACAAATCTCTTCTAGTGTTATTCTAGGCTTAGTAAGATCAAACCTTTGCCACTCCTCTAATGGAAACCTCTTTGCCATTACAGTACCTGGGGATTCCTTTAGAAAAAGAAAGTTATGGAAAGCCTGTATCCCCTTGAGAGGCTTAAAGAGTAAACTTAGTGACTGTTCCCAATCCAGAAATACACCTTGATCAGCCCCCTCATCAAATAGATTAATTGGCTCAATAATATTATTAGTTGTTGAGCTTGCAACAGCAGCACTATAGTCAGTTGGAGTCCAGATATTTCTTCTTGAAGCATTGTACTTAGCTGTTCCAAATCCTCTATCAACAGAATTTCTAGTATGGCCCTTGACCTGAAAGCATAGTTCAATCCTATCTGTCCATCCCTGCTGGACTAGCCAGCAAAGATAGGCAGTCATGGTCTTATTCTTATTTTGACCCCCACAATTATCAGCCCAAAGATAGGTAGTAGGCTTCATCCTGCCTCCAGATGTTAGAAAATAGCGGAGTAGAGATACTACTTGGTTAGGACCTTTTGGTTGCTGTGCCTCAGTATAGAGTAGGTGGTAATACTTATTATAAGACTTGTTCTCATCTACAATACCAAAAGAGTACAAGTTGAATAGAGAAAAAAAATACCATTGACTAGGTTGCTGAGGGAGCTTTGGTATCTCAACTACTTGTTAGAAGTCAAAGGAATAACATGCTGTATCTTGTGCATCTGATGCTGCTTGTAAGATAGTTGTTTCATAAAAGTCTTGACACTCACGATACTCTTTACGATGTTGATCCAGTTCTTTCTGAGTCTGTAGGTGTCTCTCATCCTGCTCAACCTCACTCTGAATTCTGTTCTTCCCCTTATGAGATCTGAGTTTTCCTTTCAGTATAGTACAATGATTACAAATATCTGTTGCTGCAGTTCTGATATGCATCTGCTTAAATCGGGAACTTGTTTTCCAATACCGGCGAAAGCTTGTAAGAGATATTGGTTGTGCTAAGCTTTCCTCACTAAGTTTAGTATGTAAAATACATAAAGAGAAAAATGAAGGAAGTAAATTTTGATTATCCAGCTCTACTCTAGTAATCATAGTCCCATCTTGTTTATATCGCTTGTAAGATCTTGTTGCTACAGGCTCACCATAGTCCTTTTCAATTTACAAAAGAAAACTTTCTATATAGTCTTTTGCCTCTGTAGACAAGCCTCTATTCGCAGGCTGTGCTGTGCGCTTATGAATTGGAGGACAAACTGACTTTCCTAATTTTAGATTACCCAATAATATACGTACTTGATACTTGCCCAGTATCCAGTACCAGCAGAAAAAGGAACAGCAAACTTGACCAATAAAGGGAATTATATACTTATTTCTCGATATGCGCTTACTTGGATCTTGTTCACCATCTTCCATTTCTAGAAATGATCTCTTGTTGTAGTTTCTAGTTCCATGTAGTTTTACAAATCTCATAGTACTAGCCATAAGACAGCTTGCCAGCAGTTTCCGCTGCTTGGTTGTCATTGCACAATTACCCTTCATCCAGGTAAACCATTGTGCATAACAAGCTTGTTTAGAGCAATCTCTCTTACAGGAACAAGCCTTGTCAATATTTGAAAGATGGACTGAGTACTTATCTAGTTGTGTAGAGCTATGATGCTTAATATATTCTTTAATTATTTCTTGATTGGAATTCTCACTTCTGTCTCCTGCTTCTCTCCATTAGTTAGTAATAAGTTATATGGCTTAAATACTATTAGAATCTTTTGTTCTCTATAATAATATTTATAGTATTATTAATTTTCACTATTGGTTATACATACTATCCATACTTTCTATCAGATCATCCTCTGATTCATACTCACAGTCAACCTCATTTTGCTATTCACTGTCATATTGTTCACTTGATATTGAATTTGAGTCTGTAGAAGACATATTCGATGATGGTAATATTTCTGACATTGTGATAATTGTTTAAAAATGTTGTAGAATCTCTATCTTCATAGTCTATAGTTTAGAAAATTTAATATAACCTAATTATAGGATGTCAACATTAGTGTTACATAATAATATAGAATCAATTGTACAGAGAATTTGTATTAAACTTAAATGAATACTTAATTGATAATTGAACTAATTCTCAGAGCCAGACTTTAATTTTTATTATATATTCACTCCAGTGTCAGTTATAGTACATGCATCATCACATATTGCTTGTATTATATAAGCAAAATACCATGGCAGTATGTAACAACACTCTAGAAAATAGACTCGTTGAAAATAAATGCAACCAACTTCAAATTGAAATAGCAGAACAAGGAATGCACTTTTGATAATAATTCTTCTTTTAAAAGGTACTCAGAAAGCTAATCTTATTTTACATGGCAAAAAGTATATTTCTCAAAATTTTAGTTTTTCTTATAAAATGGTTTACAAAGGTCATTAGTTGACAAATAATATTTTCTGAGATACTGAATATAGACTCTATATGCCTAGCTATATGGTTAAGCTCAAAGAAATTATTTGGTGTTGTGGCCCGAGAGTGGATTTTCATTTGGCACAGGCTCAAATGGAAGCAAACGTAACTACCTGCATGGAAGAAACTTAAAGCAAGAAATGTAAATGCTAGGAAAGATAATAGAAAGAACTACTACTTTAATCTGAACTAAGGTTGTTGTCAGGCCTGGCCCACACCCCACCCATTGTAGGGGGGAAACTGGTTCTTGTCTTCGAGATATATCGTACCAGGCCCCAAATGAGGTCCTTGTTGGTCCCAAGGGGAGCTGCACAGTCCAAAGCGGCCACTCCCAAGAGATGGAGGAGTCTAGAGGAGGACTTGGAGGGGCAGGAATGGTTAGCATGCTACATGGTCTCAGGCTGAGGCCACAGGAGGGGCAGGTAACAGGCTTGTCTGGTTCATTCCAGGAGGTGTGGGTAGCTAGGTAGCTCTTTCCAGCTCTCATTTGATGTATTCTCCCTGCCAAGAACTGTTTGAGCCCCATAAAGAGGTGCAGGACCTCGGGTGGGGGGAAGGAGTACTAGTGTGGAGGGGGGCCTGCAGGACCCAATCCTGGAGGAGACATGCCTTTGTAGTAGATTTCAGGAGGGTGTACTTCTGTGAGGAAGCAAGAGTATTGGTAGTCTTAGGGACCAAGTGATGATTAACATGTGGTAGGGGTCCCCTGGTAGCAATTGAAGTAAGGAAGTGAGCAATGCTGTCA